GCCTTAGCCGCTTGAGCCACAGGCGCCAAGCCTTAAGTCATAATTGTTAAAGAATGATTACTCATTTATTTTTTTAGCCATTCCAGTACTCCAACAGTTAATACAAATACTCACCTTCTCATTCAGAAAATTTAAGAGCAAATGTGCAGTCTACACACACACCCAATACAGAGGACTGACACCAAGCCAAATAAGGCTTCCAGTCATTTAAGCCTTATATTTTATGTAAAAGGTTTATACATAATATTTATATACTAAAACAAATAGCCTTAAAATACTAACCACCTAAAATTATAAGTAAAAGTGGTGTAAATCTATCCTCAAAACCACTTTCCTAGAATCAACACCCTCCAAAACTGAGATCTTTACATTGCCTCAGACTACCCCACAGCTGTGCTTAAATGTGAAAGATTTGCTACAGGCAAAAAACATCAAGGAAGATGTAGCACTGTTGCCACATGTTCCTGCAGCATTTTTTTAAGATGTGAAAATAAAACATTCCAATTCAAACACACGGAAAATGTTTCAAGAGCTAAGCTATCATTAGATCAGCAATACTAAAACTGAATGACATTTCATTTTTTCCTAAATAACAGAAAAGACGTTATGTGACAACACTGTCTGTAATAAAGACAGTAAGGGTACAATAAAGATAATAAGCTTTAAGTTTGTGATCGCATAAAGGTTTAATTTTCAACCAGTCCACGTGTTGTACTACTGTCAGATCATTAGGTATCCATAGTTAAATGGTAGGAAAACCTACTTTAAAGAAATACCATCTGAAAAATTGCAAGACTAGCCTATATTCAAAAAGAAAGCTGACCGTGTCTGAAAAGGGCGCTTAAGAATTAGTCTTTTTCTGATGCTAAAACATTTTGCAGTCACTTGATCTGACCAATTTAAAAAAAAAAAGTCAAAGCTCCTGGTTTTATCATTTGCGGCAGAAAAAAAAATATGGCTGAAAATTCTTTTTTAAGGTGCTATTTCAAACAGGACCATTCAAAACACTTAAGAATAAATATGGAGGGTGGAGAAACGATACCTACCGAAACAGCACACTTCGGGCTCTGCACACTACCTCATTTCCCTAATAGGGATGAAATGGTCAGGCCTCGGGTAGCTCCCAGCTGACGCCAATGTTCTCCACACCCCTTTTTTTGACAGGATTTTCTGGTGTTGGAGGCTGTGTCACAAATGCGAATGCCCGAGATCACGTCTAAACCGTTTACTAATCAAACAAGCATTTTATACATGATCCAGACCTCCTCCGACCCCCTTCCCTTCTGTCTCCCTCCATATCTGAACACACCTAGGAGGGTCCTCTACATCAATTTCTACATATCGTGCAAAGCATTAAGTGGGAGGAAAAAACCGTAAGAGAAAGAAGAGTTTCGGCCATTCCCTCTGAAAGGGACTGCAATTACAGGCTCCATTTCCTGTCCCCTTGGGGACTGCAAAATCGCCCGCAGAGAACAGGACGCCTCCCGCCCCCTCCAGGCAGGCGCACGCGGCCGCCGCGCTCCCCCGTCCCGGGCCCCGCAGGCGCGGGGGGCGGCGGGGACCCCGGGCGCGTCCCCTCCCCCTCTCGGCGCCGGCACCCACCTCGCGGCAGCTGCTTCACCTCGCCGTTCTCCTCCCGGGCGGCCCCGCCGGCCTCACTCGCCCCGCCGAGGCTGTGCCTCCTCTTCTCTTTCTCCCTCTTCTCCTTAGGTCTGCGCGACTTGGCGTTGGCCGCGGGAGCGGCGGCCGGCAGCAGGAGATGGTGAGGCTGAGCGTGCAGCAGCGTAGGAGGGACCAGCAGTTTGCGCGGCACTGGCTGAGACAAGGAAGCGGAGGCTGAAGAGGGAACGACCGTGCCGACGGAGAAAGAGAAACTGCTCCGAGAAGAGGACGGGGAGGGGGCAGCCGACAGAGCGGCGAAGCTCCAAGACGCGGGGCTACCATAGCTCTGAGGCGAAGGTGCCGCCGGCGGCTGCAGCTGTCTGCTGTTCCCGCCGCTGCCCCCTTCTCCGTTCACTCTCCGCGGCGCCTTCTTCTCCTCAGTCCGGACCTTCTTGGCAGACAGAGAACCCAGTGGGTCCCGGGAAGAGGGCTGCAGTTTGCCGAACGTTTCTTTCTCCGAGGCGGCAGCGGCGGTCGTGGCGGCGCCGCGCACTGGGCTCGGCGGTTCCGCCATTTTGCGCTCCTGTTGTATTTACTCTCCTCGGCTCCCCTGTGCAGAGCAGGGGCGGGGCCTCCACGAGGGGTAAGGGAGGGGCGGGGCGGCTGGGCTACCGGCCGGGCTCTCCATTGGGCTAGCCACGTTGAGGGATCCATTCTTTGAACCAATCAAAGGCGCTAACGTGAGACGACGGGGCGGGATTGCCAAGCGACCCTCTTTGGAGGTCAGAGCTCCGCGGGGCGCGGCTACGGGCTTAGCAAACTACTAGGGGAGTGTCTCTTAAGTGTCGCCATAGTGAACTCTGGTGCCCTGTGGATGTCCGGGAAGAACCCCCCACCCCGGACCTCAAAATCTGGCCAAGCCGAGGTAGCGACCGTCTCTGCCTCGAAGACTTTGTCTTAACTTGTTCCATTTTTTTCTTCCTTTTTCTCTGGTGTGCCTTTGATCTCTCCCTGCTTCTGCGGGTTCAAAAAGCCGGATTTCTGGAATGTTCAGCTCCGGAGATAATTTTGCTGGGAATTAAGTCCTTACTTTTCGCAGTCGCTAGTCAATTGATGGGAGGTGCTAAAAATCATTTAGTGTGGTAACAAGCTGTGTTGCTATTGCTAGGACCCTCAACTCTGAACTTTGGGGGAGATAACCTCCTGCAATCCTAGAATTTTCGGATTAGAATCTTGAAGGTAAGGTTCTCTCCCTGGATTTGGAGACTTTTTTGAACTATTATGATTGAATTCTTAATTTTATTATAATTATTACAACTTAGACACACCAGGAAAAAAATCTGTTAGCAGTGTTTATAGGTGTTTGAAAAGCTAGAACATTTTTTACGTTTTTGTAATTTAGTGTTTAGTTAGCGCCTTGCATTTTGGTGTTTTGGAAGCTTGCCTTATGATTTTTAGGTATGAAGAAAAGGAACTGGAGGGGGCAGATGGGTTTTAGTTTAGAAGATAAAGAATGTGAGGCCAGGAATGGTGGCTCACGCCAGTAATCCTAGCACTCTGGGAGGCCGAGGTGGGTGGATTCCCTGAGCTCACGAGTTCCATACCAGCCTGAGCAATCCTGAGACACCCCCCTCCATCCCTAAAAAATAGCCAGGCATTGTGGCAGTCGCCTGTAGTCCCAGCTACTTGAGAGGCAGAGGCAAAAGAATCGCTTGAGCCGGAGAATTTGAGGTTGTTTTCAGCTATGACGCCAGGGCACTCTACCCAGGGTGACAAAGTGAGACTATCTAAAAAAAGATAAATAAAAGAATGTGAGGAGATGAGTTACAATACAGTTGTAGCCATAGCAAATACGAATTTAATTTAATTCAGATATCACATGAAATCAGAAGGTCAAAAGACTGAATGAGAAAATGAATCAAGTCCAGAGATGAACAGTACCAGGATATTTTATGAGTCCTAAGGAGAGCCTTAAGTTTCCGGTAACTGCCTTGAAACAGTTAAAAGTTACCTGTCAGGGGCTCGGCGCCTGTGGCTCAAGCGGCTAAGGCGCCAGCCACATATACCTAAGGTGGCGGGTTCGAATCCCCAGCCCGGACCCGCCAAACAACAATGATGGCTGCAACCAAAAAATGGCCAGGCGTTGTGG